GGGAAAGAGGGCGATAGAGAAGATAGGAAAGGAGCAAGAGTTGCATAAAGCGGGGATAGTCACCACCAGGATCCTTCAGATTCTGCTGCAGATTCTGTTTTTCTCGTTGCCTCTGGCCTTGTCCATCTGTGTCCTTCAGACAAAGGATTTCACAATCCTTGCCCAGGATTTATCCATCAGAGTTCTCCAGAGAAAGGATTTCTCAACACCTGCCCAGGGCTTGCCTGGACTTGTTCATCTGCGTCCCCAGCAAGCTTTGAGAAGATGATGTTTTACAGAACAATATCTTACACATCTAGAACTGGATTCTAATGGGAAAGACTACAAGTGCAAGAAAACAAGATAAGCATCTATACTGTTTCTTAAAGAGACCTATGATAATCTAGATTTAGACTTTTGGAATTTTAAAATTTTAACTGCTTGCTTTAGTGATATATACAGTGTAAATGAAAGTATTTGCTGCAAGTATTGTTACAGCAAAAATATATGGTGTAAATGAGTATTTAAAATGAGTGGTGCATACAAGGAACTTGTCAATTTGTAAAAATCGGAACATTATCATTTCTTGCATGATATTCAGGGAACTGTGTTAAAAGGAAACAGGGCTAATCCTAATGAAACATGACCTCTCCACTGTGCCACACTACTGTAAACTGCAACTGTGACTGGTTGCTGAACTGGTGACATTTTGCAATTCAATTTAATGGATTCCAGCACTTGTTCAAGCAGCTGTTGAAACTTCCCATTGATTGCCCCGTTTCATCTTTTTATCTGCCTGCTTTCCATTTCAGCTATTGTTTCTTCATTCTGCCTCTTCTGATCAGGTGGACGACTAGCAAATGTCCTCTATCAAAATCCCAATATTGCATGTAATTTCTCTGCCATCTCAAGTTCACATTAGACTTTTGTCTAATAACTAAATCACACTTTACAGATAAAATGTGTTATTTACTTCCCTGTTTTTTTCCAGACTTGATCTACTCTTTGCTTCTTACTGAGTTTTGATTCTGTACTGCAGTTTTGTGTCATGGTTGAAATTTCTCTTTTTTTTTTCCTGCAAAGACGTTCTTGACAAAAGAGTTTAAGTTCCTCCTCTCAGCTTCTAAGAAAACTTAGATGACTGTGTTTGTTTTTTTAATTTTTTTCACCTTTTTTTGATGTTATGCGCTCTTGAATATGCCAGTAAAGCTGTCTGTGCTTATGTTTGTCTTTAAAATTAATGCCACATACTTATTTCACAGGATTATTGATTATGAATTAATGAATTCATTAATTAATGCTTAGGGAAAAAAATCTTCCTTTGTAGTGCTCATTTGGAAAGTTATGTAATAGTTAGAGCATTAAATTCATTTAATCTCCTGGATTTAAGCCCCAAATTGTAAGGAGTTATGGAGTTCCTTTTTTATTTTTCACACATGGTACTTCATGTCATGTCATGCCTATGTTAGTTCACTTCTCTGTTCTTCTATGAAATTATAATTTTTGTGTATACATGTATCCAAAATGATATAAAAATATATAATATTGAATTGCATATGAACCACTTCAATTCTTAACTATTAAATAACCCTCTTGAAAACTGTAGATTATTTTTCTTTTGACCTTGTCTGCAGTTTGGAAGCAAGGAGTGAAAATAAGCTTTTTGTAGTCTAGGCATATTTCCTGAGTCAGAGTCTTAAGTGAGCCAAACATAAGGAGGATTGCTTATAAATACTTTTTTTTGTACCATGAAATATTTAAATCCCAACTTGCTTTTTTAGTTCATGCTTTTTACTAAAGGGGAAAAAAATACCATACGAATTCTATGTGTTTGTCATAGCCTCAAACACAGCTAAGTCTGTGGAAAACATTTCAAGAATGCAGAATACAGCTGTGATAGAAAATACCAAAGAACAGTTGGTTGAATCCAGCCATAATTGTAAGTAGAGTTTCTAAACTGATGGAATCTGAATTTCAGCAGGTTCCTGAAGTTGAAGTCATCGTTCCTATTCTGATGACTATCATAGGTTACTTAAATATTGTAAGTAAAGAATAATTAGTAAATCAGTTTCATTCCTATACTAAAATCCACTTCAGTTTTGTGCGTTAACAAGAGTCTAGCCTTGAAATGCAAATAAAACTCACATATAAGTAAAAAATGACTTCATTAAGTACTTGTAAGACCAGGACTCAGGCATGGCATCCTCCTTGTGTTATAGCAAAATACTCCATTTTATTTATAGCTTATTTATGCTTTTAGCTTGCCATAATTTCAAGTGATTCCATTACCAACAGCACAAGAATTAAGAAGTAGGACAATTTAACAGCTGAAGTGGCTTTTCAGAAAATTACATAAGTTATTGTCATCATTCACAATTTGTCTAGCACCATTATATTTAATATAAGATGACTAACATCATTAAGGCTGAAATATTAGCCTATAGGAGGGGCAGCCAACAGGGGCTGTAGTTCTGTGCCCAAATGTTCTATCATTTCTATTTGTCAGGCAAGAAAAGATTGCTCCAGAACAGAGGAAGAACATTTACTTCTCTTTACAAATATAGACAGCCCAGATGCTGTGAGGCTATGAAACTAAAAGAATAGAAGAGGCAAGAGGTTTGTAATATGTCTTCAAACAAAATTAGAATTATTTGAGTTTAGGAAATAAAATTGTGAAATTACTAATAGACTTTCAGCAAATAACATTTGTAATACTGTAGTAAGAATTACTATGCACATCTCTTATGCTCCTTTACAGATATTGGAAACACAGTGCTCGCAGACTTTGACTAAATCTTTACTACTCCACTGAGAGTTAAATTCTTTAACCCTGTTATAATTAAAGCCTTGCAGTACAAAGTTATATAAAATACTCTATGCATTTTGTTATAATTAGAGACTGCTTCCTAATCTTCTGCGAAGATTGTAAGGATGAAAGGTTGAAAATGGAGAAATATATAAATGCATCATTTTTTTCTATATTTATATTTAATTTGAAGTGTTTCAATAATTTTTCAAGTAATCATTTATCAAATGTATCATAAATCAGATACATTTCTGTCCTGATCAAAATAATTCCATTATGAAGTCAAAAGGCCTAAATGTAATAAACATTTTATAAGATATGAGGGGGGAAAAAAAAAATCTAACCACACTTTTATTCTTTACCTGTAGTGTTTTCTCTTCTAAAACAGCTCCTTGTAGAAGTGTAGAGCAGGCTTATAGTAGGAATCTAGCTCTTTGGTTTTGACATTTTCACATGCTATTGTTACCTTTGTGGAAATAATGCATTTAATATTTCAGTTTTATATAAAAGCCTACTTTTGAGGTTTTTTTCTCAGTTTCCTGTTATTTGGGAAGCAAACATTGGGGAAAAAAAATAAGAGAAGTTTTATTTAATATAACATCTGCAAGGGAGGCACTGATTTATGGAAATGGTGATATAAAATCAGCTGTAAAGGAAGCCACTGACAGCCTAGACATAGGCATCTGATTTTCAAAATTTTGACCCTGGTTACTTCTGTGGCAATGAAAAATGTTAGTCCATAGGGACAGAGAGCCCTTGGTCTTCTACATTTCTTTTTTTCCAGCAGCACTACATTAAACAATTATTGTACAAGAGATTTTTGTTAATGGAAAAGTATAGTCAAAGAGATAATAAGTATTTAAAAAAAAGCATGAGGAAATGCTGTGGAAGTGGTAGTTTAATTCCTGAGACTTTTTGCTCTGTTTTTATTATTCTCTGTAGTTAAGTATTAATGGAGTCAGTGCCACTTAAGCAAAGACATTTGTATCATCTCACTAGCCTATATGGAATTAAGGAAGAATGAACTTCATCTCTAAATAAGCAGCAGATAACAATGCAGAGCGGCACAGAAATCATGGAATTTGCTGTCAGTGTTTGTGTGATACTTGCTAATTTACATGGGCATTTTCAAGTGATTTGGTGGCTAGGATTCCTTGGGGGCAGTTCACTCAGGCGCTGAAACTCAATCAATGTTTAAATGGTTGTACTCTTCGAGTGGCTTTAAAAAGTCCTAAGTAAGTAGATGTTTTCATAATTAATACAGTAACTGCAAATCATGCAAGGATCATTTATTTTTCAGAAGAAGATAAAACAGCATTCTTATTTGGCTGGGCATCTTGCACTGTTTGTTAGTACTGTGAAGAAATGTAAAACGCAGATTGTTGGATTAAGACAAGCAATTACTCACTGATCTGGATGTCTCTACTCCTTTAGTTGATAATGCATCTGTTGTGGAGGAAATACATTGATCTGGAACTCTGAGATCTGAATTCTTCTCTCCAGTAGCTTCTGCAGCATGTCACCCTTCTGTGCTCTGATTCCCCTTTGGCTAGAAACAGGGCAGGCAATGCCTCTTTTCAAAATAACATCTAATAACCTGTTTTCCAAGACGCAGTATGTTGTTTCCATCCTCTGGAAAATCCTATTATATTTTTCCTTCTTAATGTTCTAGATATGTGTTAAAATATGATTGTTAAAGTTTTTGTGCAATGCCAACATATCAGTAAAAGGGTGTAGGGATGCTGCTTTGCTCCTGTTGGTTTTTTTTTACTCCTTCTGATTATATACGGAGAAAAACGGCTAGATCTTTGCCACACTGATGCAATAAATACCTGCATTCATTTGATTGCTGACAAGATCTAATAAATGTGGAATTTTAGGGCTATCTGATGTCTCCTTTCATGACAGGAAGGAAGGTGATGTTCTGACAAAGGCATAAAGTGGAAGCGAAAGATAAGTCATCTGTTCCCGCCTCATTTATTTCCTGCATGCTTTTGAAAGGATAGCTGAAGTCAAATAGTCCTTTTTAATTTTTGTGACCAATAACTTTCTTTGGTAAACTGTTGGCTTCATTAAAACAGGTTAGGTTTCACCATTGCAAGCTCTCGCCCTTTTGTACGTAATGCCTCTTTTTAAAAATATTCTTATTGTATATGAAATAAGTAAATAACATATTTACATTGGATTCAAGTATTTAAATATATTTCTCTTGCAGAGTTTCTGGAGGGCAAGATGCAAAATGCAACTCTAAAAACTTCTAGGCATATGGAAACTCCAAACTGAAGTAAGAGGAAAAGAGACTGTCATCTCAGACTTCTTTATAGTAAGCTCTTGAGATTGTCAGCACTGCAAAAATCATCTTGTAATGAACAAAGTCCACTTAAAGCTGATTCAGACTTCATAGAATGAGTATTATTGCTTGACCTAACATTGCTGTTGTCACCTATTTTACCTGCCCTTTTGGTTCCTTGTTTATTTTTTTACTCTGCCCAACTTGTGCAGTAAAGCAGTTTGGTTTTTTTTTGTTTTTTTTTTTTAATCCAGGGTCTTTTGACTGAATCTAAATAATATCCCTCCACTTCTGTCCAGTTTAATACCTTACAGCCTCATGGATTTACATTAGCAAATGGTTTAATTTGTAGAAATCATAGAATTGTTTGGGCTAAAAGAGACCTCAAAGATCGTGTAGTTTCAACCCCCTCCCCCCCTGCCGTGGGTACAGCCACCTTTCATTAGACCAGGTTGCCCATAACTCCATCTACCCTGGTCTTGAGTGCATCCAAGAATGAGGCATCAACTGCTTATTTGTGTTTTCAGAATAGGTATATGTGTTAATGAAAAAAATGCTACTATTCAAAGAATTAAGAGTGGTACAGCAGTTTTGCATATATATTATTGCAGGTTGTTACTTTAAACAATGGAAAAAAGATTGTTTTTTTTTAACTGAACATGAGATATTCCAGTTTTTTATGTTTTGCTTTAGTAATGGAACCATGAATAAGACTGTTCACTTAAATAATTCCACCCAGACTTTGCATTGAGTGAAGGCTGTAGGAGATGAGCAAGCTTGGTAAGAGCAGTCATATAAAACAGAGCTTATTGCTAAGATGCAGGCATCCTGAAACCACGATCTTAGATACGCAGGGCAATATAAAGCATATAGCTAATTCCCTCTGCTTGGCTTGTTTGAAAATCTTAGCTTTAATGTAATTAAGGAACATACTGATCTCTAGTTGCTTTAATGGCTTGAGTATCATGCACCTAGCTGACAGTTTCAGCGTTTCTGCATTGTCTCCACTTTGATTAGACCCAGTTACATTTATTTAGCAGGTTGTTTGATCAATTAGATAATGAACCTTAAAGTCACCTTCTTGCTTTGAACAACAATGAACAGCTCCTCTAGAAAGAAAAGGAGAGAAACCTGTGTAAGTAAGCTCTCAGCGCACAAAAATATCCAGGGTATTTTGCAACACAGGACTGAAAAATATTTTAAACTCTTAAGAATAGAAGATTAACAATTCAGTGAAATTTAACTATGAGGCTTTTTAGTGTGAATTATCTTCTGTTTACGTCTAGATCTGTGTTGAATAGGAGAGAGGTGCTTATCATTGAATCAGCTTTGCTCTTCATTGATTTCTCTGTCATCAGAATAAGACTAATTCTGAGTGACTCCAAATGTTGTGTGGTGGCCTTGCAATGCTATCATAAAATATTTCTATGTATTACATAAATAGCAGTAAATAAAAGCAGAAATGAACAAGCAACAGCTTAGTAGAAAAATCAAAAAATTTTGAGAAGTGAAAGTTCCTTTTCAGACAACTGGAAACTGATGTTTTTGTTTATTTTATCTCTGGCATTCTGTTTGTCTGCACTATTAATCTATTCATTTCTACATTTAAAGTATATTTTCTAAACTTATGTGATTTTACATTTCCTAAATATGAAACTAGCATGCTCCAGAATTTTCTACTTGCAAATTATTATCAAATATTGCTCTTTATTGCCATTAAAGGCAGACTCAGAATCGCTGCTTCTTTGCACACACATGGAAATGCTTTCAAACTGCATATGAAATATAACTAAATGTACCTGGTTTTATTCACAAAGCAGGGCAGAGAACTTTAAAGAGATGTTTGCTGTCTTTTTACTGCAGGATAAACAAATGCAGTTGATGATCCAGCTGTAGTTCTGAGAATTTTATTTTTGCAAGTAAAAAAGAAATACTTTGTGTGCTCTGAAAATACATGTGACCAGCAGTCTATTTCTCTTTGACATTGCTTAATGATCTTGATTCAGCTTTATTTAGCGGGAAAGCTGAATTAATGAGCAATTTTGTTTTTGCTTCACAAGTAATATTGAAAAAGGCCTGAAATTTAAAATCATCCTAAATTACCATTCACAGTAAACTCACTACTACTCTGTAAGAGTGTGAGATACATCAAGCTGTACACCATTTCAAATGGGATCTTAGCCCCCATCTTGTCAAATTTGTGGAACTAGTAACAAAGCTGTGTTAAGGTTCATCTTGTTTTTTTTGAGAAGGTCATGTTATGGCATATGGAAAAATAAATATTAGACAACAAGAAAAAGGAAGCAATTTTGAGGGAATGGCTGATCTGTCTACCTTTAGATTTTGTTCAACTTCTGTGTTCTGCTCTGGAATTTGAGCTGTTGACAGTTTGCATAATACTCCTCTGCACTGAATTTGGGGATAAAAACAAAGAAATAGTATTTAAAGCAAAAGAAGTTGCAGTATCAATTAACATGACCCTTAAAATTTTACAGATACAATCATAAAATCAATAATTCAAGCACTGAGAATTCAAACTGAATTCAAGCACTTATTTCCCTGTGGGCATTTAACTTTGTCCAAGAAAATACTTAAACAACAATCAACAAAAACATTTTTGACAGCTGTTCAGTGTCATTTAAGAGGCAGAAACTTAATCCAGAAAGCATAGGAATAGGAAGAAGAATTTGTGTGTTCACCATGCACAAATATGTTAAGTTTGTTCAAATATACATCTCTATAGCACTCTCAAAAATTTCTGTTCTTTGAATTCTCTAGTCACATGAAGGTTATCTTTGAAACATGTTGTGTGGGGAAAGAAATCCACTGTTTTTTATTTTTCTTATTTTACGGTGTAGCAATGATAGGGTATAAACCATTTAGGAATAGGAAAATAAATTGTTTCCATCAATTCTAGGGTTGGGTAAGGTGGAATACTAATATTACTCAGATATTTTGTTTGCATTGCAATAATGAATAGTGCACTGTCTGGCAGTGTTCCACCAGATGTTTGTTTGCTTTTTTTTTTTTTTTTTTTCAAGCTCCAAAACCATTTGTTGTCTATTATTTTACTCCATTATTAGAAAACATCTCCATTGACTCAACAAATCTTTCTATATTGCTTGAATTAAAGGAGAGATTTTGAGGGGTGTATGAAGGTAAATATATACATACATTAAAAAAAAAAAAAAAACCCAAACACCTAAGGAAATACCTTATTTAACCAACTGGTACCAGTAACATTAAAACTTCCCAGTTCCCTTCAACCCAAGCTGTTCTATGATTCTATGATCCCACTCAGTATGCAGACAGCAATCCAATTAGGAAAGGGTTAATTATGTTCTCATGGCTCCATCATCAGCAATGTTAAATATTTGAGAGTTCTGTCTTGAACATCATTCACTTCTTGTGGGATATGCCCTCCATTTGCATTTTGTCAACACTTGTTTTAAGTTGAAAATTGATGTAGAAATTCAAAATCAAAAAGGTACACCTCCATATATCTCAGTGTTGGTTATGTATTAGCACTTTCCTTTTTATTCTAATATCAACATGCTGTCTCCTTTTTCAGTTCACTAGGAGTCCTTTCTCCACCTAAAATGTATTATGTTGTTAATATTTCTGGTCTCTTGCTTCTGGCATCATTTCTTAAGATCAGTATTCTGTATCCTTCTCCTGTAGTAGCGCAGAGTGGATATGTAGGAAGGGATATAGGAAAAGAACACAAGCATAACAGTATATTGAATTAGTCTCCACTATTAAAATTAGGACTTCTTTGGGATTTTATTGTTGAGCAGTTTTGAGCAGTTGGTAGTTTTTCATTCTAACAGCTTGTATCTGTATAGTATTTGGTGCAAGTTTACTCAAGTATCTGTCTTATCAGTATTCTCATTCTAACCATGATAACTCAAACACACCAAAGATCTAGAGCAGATCAACTACCTAGACTTCTTCCCCTAACTAGGTATTTGTCCAGTCTTTGAATATTTTGAGCCTAGATGAATATATGAATGAAAAGTGGCTTTATTTTTATCAACTCTTACTGGATTGCTTTCCCAAAAAAACCTACATGTTTTCAGAAATAATGTTTCTTCTAGCATTCTGATACATTCTCTTCAAACTACCTAAAGCTTTTATAGGGAGAAACAGCAAAAGCTGGTCAATTCCTGATTTTTTTCTATATAACATTTTTGTATAGACTTTGATTATTTTGCTCTTCTCTGCTTATTTTTCAGAATCCTAGCAGACTTGACTATGTTCCATGCAGAATCTTTTCCAGGTCTTTTATCTCAGCTATTCACTGTAAACATTCCTTTGTTTTGTATCCTTTTAAAATGTGGCACAGTATTCAAGAAGTAGGAATGCTAAGCATTTTAAAAGGGACTGTCAATGTTTTTGTTTTTTGTTTTTTTTTTTTTTTTTTCCTCTAGAGGTTCCTAACATTAATGTATTTTTGATTGCACTTAAATAATATTCATAGACTTATAACTTCAGAATCTGCCTCTGCACAGCTTTTCCTCACTTCACAAAATATATTTTTCTATATTATCTTCAACTTCCTGCAAACTGTCCCATTCTTCTCACGTCGTCATTTATCACTAAAACTGACTGTACTGAAACTCATTACTGGAAAAAAAAAAAAAAAAAAGAAAAGAAAAAAAGAAAAATAGGACAAATAGATATTAATGGAAGAATGAAGTTTACTAATTTCATATGACCTAGGAAGTTGGAGATGCTTTCAAATAAGTGAGGGTAAAAGAAGTTGAAATATTAAGGTTCTTGAGCTGTTGAGTAAACCAACATCACTCCTTACATAAGCCTTTGTGCAACAAAAAGCTCTTGGAGAATCAGTTTAAGCCAAGCCTACAGAGCTTCAAAGTTGCATGCTCCAGGGCCATCAGGCCTCTTAGTTTGCAGCAGATAGAAGGATGTATTTAGATTCAGCCTCAGAATGGTGCTGACACACTTTCTGAGCTTCCAACTACATTGGAAGC